CTTTTTTTGTTTTAGGAGTTCTTAAAGACCAATTCAAGTGTTAGCACCTCTGAGTAAGACTTTATTAGAAAAAAGAACTAGAAACAATTTTCAGATTTGAATTCTGGGACGTAATTGCAAGGACTGTGCCAGAGCAGCATTTTTAAACTTACCTCTTTCTATCAGGGAGCCACGTTTATAATAAACAGCAAAAAGAAATATCATTGACAACTGAATAGGCCTTTTCACATCCCCCAGATTTGCTGAGAATTATTTTGGGGAATACTTAATTCCGAGCTTTTCTTTCAGGGTGTTGGCACTTTCCCTTTTTGGATATGAGTTATACTAGACTAACCTCTATTATTTCTGGATTACATGTCAGTGATGGAAAATGAATTGAGTGCTTTGAGGGAGAAAGAAATTATTACCAGAAAGATGAATAGACCGATTGTACTGGGTTACTAAAAGTTGGGGCTCTGGAAAGATCATTGGTTTGATTTTCCGGGAAACGCATCTTCTTGGATTCTCTTCAGAGTTGAGATAGATTCCTCCAGCAGCAGGTGGGAGGTAGGCCTATTGATACCACACTTTCTCCTGGCCCTGGGTTTCCTAAGCTGACTAAAGAGAGGCCTTTCTTTGCTATGTAGTGTTTAAAGAAAAATACTGCTTTGAACTCTCAGATTTCAGGCATTTGGGAAAGAGTCAACAGCCAGCCAGATTTACATGTTTATTACTTGTGCCATAGGAAGTAGAAAATTTTTTTCCCTTCACTCAATGAACAATGGTATTTATCTGTTCAATAGGTATAGTACTGGGTACTGATGATACAACAATGATCAAGTCTGATATAACCCTTACATAACAGAGCTCTCAGTTATGGAGGAAGGAAGTGGATCTAGACAGGTAAACAGCTTGCAATTCAAGGTGAGAAATACCATGATAAGGACATACCAGGTGCTGTGAGAATCTTATAGAAAAGGAGATCAGAGAAGACTTTCTTAAAGAAGTGACCTGTTATTGTGATCTCAGGGATAGTAAGTCATAATGAGAGGAAAAGAGGGTGAGCAAGAGCCCTGAGAGTGGAGAGAGCATGGCATATTTCAAGGACTGAGAATAGAAAATATGTGTGTAGGTGAGGGGAAAAGACACTTTTTTTAGGGAATTGTTGAATAGGAAAGGAATAAGGTGTGAAGTTAAAGGAGTAAACAGGTGCAAGGTCGTGGAATGTCTAGAAAACCCAGTTAGGATTGGTAGTCTCTGCCCTCAGGGAAAGTCATTGAATGGTGTTTAGCAGAGAGGACACATAGTCAAATGTATGTTTCTGGAGACCACTCTGATTGTTCTTTCGCAAATGGATCAGAAGAGACAAAGTCTGGAGATAGGAGTTGGAAAGACCAATGAGGGGGCTTTGGAGGCATTCAGGTGAGAGATGATGGTAGCCTGAGATCATGTACTGGTGGTAGAAAGCACAGACTGGGTGGATTTGAGAAAAGTTTAGAAGGTGGAATTGACAAGATTTGGTGACAGACACGATATGGATGGTGTAGGAAAGGGAGGAATCTAGCATAATACTGAAAAGGCTTAAGGTTCTGGGTTGGCAGAGAGATCATTTAGTGAGACAGGAAACCCAGGAGAAAGAGCAGACTTCTATGTTAAGGTCATGAATTCAGTTTGGGACATGTTGATATGAAGTATTTAGTAGATACTGTTGATGACCCACACATATCCCCTTGACCACTGAAGCGAGAGGCAAAATTTCCCAGTGGCTGAAACAACAGGCTATGGATACAGTCAATGCATGTTATATATCTTAGTTATTTCAATTAACTAGCTGTGGGTCACTGTGCAACTTCTCTTATCTATTTCCTCCTATATAAATTAGAGATAGTCACTACCTTATGGGGTTGCTATACATATTAGATACTTGTTAAGTATAATATAATTTCCTATGTAAACTACATCATCAAGCAACATCTGAACTCTACATGGCAGAAGGCTCTTCTTTCCTTGTCCACGAGGCACTTGATATTTGTGTTTGCAATTATATTACAGGCATTTTCACATCAGTATTGTCTTTGTTGACATAAGCCCTCAGCAGTAGTGTATTAGTTTCCTATTGCTACTGCAACAAATTAGCACAAACTTAGTGACATAAACCAACACAAATGTATTACTCTATAGTTCTGAAGGTCAGAAGCTTGAACTGGGTCTCACCAAGCTAAAATCAAGTTGTTGGCAGGACTACATTCCTTTTGGAGGCTCTGGGGGAGAATCTGTTTTATTTTGCTTTTTTCTTTTCCAATTTCTGCATTCCTCAGCTTGTGGTTCCTTCCCTCCATCTTCAAAAACAGCAGGTGTCATCTTCAACTCTCTTTCTGCCTTACTCTTTGGGATCCCTCCTCTGCTAAAAGGATCCTTGTGATTACACTGGGCCCCTGCAGATAATCCAGGATAATCTCCTTACCTTAAAGTCAGCTCATTAGGAACCTTAATTCCATGTCCAACCTTAATTCCTCCTTGCTATGTGTGTTAGTCCATTTGCATTGCTATACCTGAGACTGATTAATTTACAAAAAAAAGAGGTTTATTTTGGCTCTGCAGGTTGTACATGAGGCATGGTGTGGGCACTGGTTTCTGGTGAGGGCCTCAGGAAGCTTCTAATCGTGGCAGAAGGTAAAGGGGAGCAGGAGTGTCACATGGCAAGAGAGAGGCAGCAAAAGAAGAAGGGGGGGTGGCAGGCTTTTAGACAACCAGCTCTTGAAGGAGCTGCCAGAATGAGAGCCCACTTATTACCCTGGGGCAGGTACCAAGCCATTCACAAGGAATTTACCCCCATAATTCAAACACCTTCCACCAAACCCTACTTCCAACATTGGAGAATACATTTCAATATGAGATTTGGGGGGTACAGGCATCCAAACGACATCACTATGCAACATAACATATTCATAGGTTCTGTGGACTTATGGATTCTTTTTTAGTGATAGCTCCATTTTTCATACTGCCTTATCATTGAGTTGTGTCAAACTCTTCCAGGACTAACATTTCCAACTCTTGTGATATTCTTGTACATAATACATTGTTGTGCAATAAAAATATATCTGGCCTGAAAGCAGTAGCGATGATTTTTATTATGCATAATTTATATAAGAAACACAAAACTCAAACTTTCAAGTGATATAGTAAATATATTATGTGGTAGAAAATAAATATCCATAGGACATTTTCCCCAGTCTTCCTAACAATGACAAGATAGCAGCCAAAAGATTATGAGAAAGCAATAAATATTAAACACCAATGGAAACAGTGGCTACCTAAAGTAACCCAGAGCACACAGTCGATCTGTACTGATGATTCTTCTCCAGAACTAAAATTCTCTATTGGCACAACCCCTATAAAACTTTAATGAGCTCTATTCCACTCTGATCTGGGAAGGAAGGGAGAAGTAAGAAAGGGAAGCAGAAATGTAGATGTCATAAATATGAACAAAGACCCTGGAGTATGAGAAGGGCAGCCTCAACCACCTGCCCAACCATCCTCTAGTGCAAGGGCCAACTCACACAGGGACCACAACCCAGGCTGCCAGGCTAACCTGCGCCAAAAGAGCCATTACCTGAAGGCTGCTGAATGGCTCCAAGCTGGTCACAGCCTGAAACGCTTCTTAATTATCTATCTCTAAGTAAAAATGTCAAATAAAGTCATTAACATCTCTGCAATAAACAGTTTACAAGACTGATGGGCAGATTAGCAAAGGATCCAAGAGAACGGGACCCCAGCCTAGCAAAGAAGCAGGGAGAGTTCTCCAACGGTATGTAGCTTACCCTAGGCAGAGTAAAGGAACTGTGCACCAAAAGGATTTAAACAACTTCCTGTAACCCCCCCACATTCTCATGTTCAGATACATAAAATTGGCATTAATGATCTGTCATATGAAAATAGCTGTTACTTTCTGAATATGTATTAAACATCAGACCTGGTACTAGATGCATTATAGTATTATCACTAGTTCACTAGGTTCCTTTCAGCATCTACAATTAACAGAGAGAACCAGTTGCAGTGGCTCATGCCTATAATCTCAGCACTTTGGGAGGACAAAGCAGGTGGATTACCTGAGGTCAGGAGTTTGAGGCCAGCCTGGCCAACATGGTGAAACCCCATCTCTACTAAAAATACAAAAATTAGCCATACATGGTGGTGGGCACCTGTAGTCCCAGCTACTTAGGAGGCTGAGGCATGAGAATCACTTGAACCTGAGGGGCAGAGGTTGCAGTGAGATGAGAATATGCCACTGCGTTGTAGCCTGGATGACGGGGCGATGCTCCATCTCAAAAAAAAAAAAAAAGAAAGAAAGAAAAAGAGAAAAGAAACAGAGAGGGATCTGAACCCATAGAAGTTCAGTTACTCACCTAAGGGCACACAGCTGATAGATTTCAGAGCTGGGATTGAAATTCAAGACTTATGATTCCGGAGCCCTACCTTTCTTTAGGAAGTACTTCATACAGTCTTTTCCACAGGGTGGTTTCTTCCTCAGTGGGGGAACGATTCAAATCATCAGCTCGCCTGGCGCGGTGGCTCAAGCCTGTAATCCCAGCACTTTGGGAGGCCGAGGCGGGTGGATCACGAGGTCAA